CAGAATGACTGTGACTGTGAATTTAACCAGGTAAAGGGGTATTATCATGCGGATAGAGACAGAATTTGGAGAGGATCGAAACTGAGTACAGTTCGAGAAAGAAGTGATATTATAATCACAGACCAAATAGGCTGTCACTAAACCAGCGTGGTCCTGAGTCCCTTTTACTTCGCCGAGTACAACAACAAATCTACCTTTGGTTACTAATTATTGATACTCTCATTCTACTTGTTCAAAACTTTGTGGATGGCTCTAATACTTCGAATCACGCTGAGACACAATTCAGTGGCAAGGTTTGTTATGAGGTATTTTAAGATGAAGCCTCATCTCCATGCAATTATGGTCATGTGACTAATTTAGTTGCTTAATAAATACATTTTCAAATCAGATACTTCATTATGTATTATGTGAATAATTCTGATACCAATCTGTTGTCATTAAAGATGGTTTTCAGGTACCTTAAGTCCCAGCCTCTTTTCCCTGCTGGAAGACAAACACATTTTAAATCCACCTTTATGGCCATCGGTGCAAAATAAAAATTTTCCGACAACATTTTTTTATGTTCCTTAGAGTCCCTTTAACACATCTAAATAGGTGGCTTAATTTTTTCACAAAAATTCCACGGAACTTTATTTTTTGACATATGCATGCTCCCTGAGCATTAACTGCTCTTTTTATCCACTCTCGTCAGTGAGCATCTTGTATCGGACAAGGCTTTGTATGTCTACAAACACATTGCTTCATCTCAAGCTTGCGGACAGTTCTGTTGTACGGATATTTCACTATCCTTGATCCCGCCGCCTCTGGATTCTAGTGGGCGAAATATGTAAAACTATCACTTTCGATGCAGCTTAGCTGTTATTTATGCTGTAACGTTTCTTTTTCTCTCCTCATTGTTCCTCTATCACATTCAGTCTCTTTCATTGAAATCGTTGTAATTAGCATATTCAAATTGTAACTACTTCTACAACTTAAGATATTCAAATTCTAACGAGCTACATCTGAAGATGGCATAAGTTTGCCAATACATTTCTTGTAAATTGAAAACTGTTGTGTCATTTCTACAAATCACAACAAATTTTCTACTCTCGCGTCCGTTTGGTAACTGGTTCTACTAAAATGAGCGCCCACATCCCCAAATTTCAGCCTTACAAGCCCTTACGTAACGGGCTGTGTCACGAAATTCAGCCAAATTAGGAAATTACAAAATGCGCGTTAAATTAAGAGAAACATAAAATAACCGCTTAAAACTTTAAAGGAAGGTTAAAATAACATAACAGAAACAACAGATGCCACGGATGGGCAAAACTGAAGAAGACTGAAACGGATTGAAATTAGGGTTTTTGAAAACTGTTCATGCTTGCAACCTCAAAAATAATGATCAGGAGACATATTTGTTTGTCTTGGATCTCTGATTTTGTCATTTACATGTAATTTCTTTGCTTACTTTAAGTTCCATAGCGATTGAGGGCGAGTAATTGGCAAAATAAAACGAAATGAACTGGACTGCCGTGACACAGCCCCTTTAATTTAAGTTATATGAATAATACTGAACACCCTCTCACCTTAATAAGTGGTATGGTGGGGTATAGATTACATAAAACAGCAGCAGCAACAACTCGCGTGAAAGCAACAATTAGCAGGGATATTTCTAGACGTTTTAGCCTTTAAGATCATGTACATTAAACCCTTCATAAGAGTTGTAAAAATTTTGTGACATGGTCCGGCATTGGAGATGTAATCTGATGCCAACTCATGTAGCCTTTTGCTGTCAAAAGGATCACCATGTCCCGGAAAGACAACATCCACATGATTGGAAAGGTCTTGCACTCTTCTGAAGGTCCGAACGTACGCGTTCACATCACTCTGGGGTAAAAAATCAAGCAGGGGTCCTCGATTGTACACTGTATCTCCACTGAAAAGGATCCTCGCCTTCTCGTCGATCAAACCAATGCTCCCTGGAGTATGGCCGGGGAAGTGTAAAACGCGCAAGCTTCGATCGCCAAGATCGAAAACGTGTCCTTCCTCCAAGACTGTCGACGGCTCGGCGGCTTTAACTCGGTAGTCGGAAAATTTCCATCCTTCGCTCGGGGGTACAGCAAGTGAATCACTCCTTAGGAAAACCCTGGCTATGTCGTATTGGTTACCGTTGCGTATCGCGTCCGCCTCGAGGCTGTGAATGGCGAACTTCTCAAACTGGTGTAGTCCTCCCGAGTGATCGTAGTGCATGTGAGTGGCAACTGCTTGGACTGGTTTCTCACCAATCAGACCCTGTTGTCGCAGAAAGCCTGGCAAGTCCCACAAACCGAGACCAGTGTCGATAACCAAATCCGAAAACGAACCTTGTACGAGCCATATGTTGGGTTGGTTATAATGCGACTCGTAGAACACTTCACGTAACATAAACACGCCGTCATGTACCTTTTCAACGCTGAATGGTTTTTCATCTATTTGCAGTTGTTCTTGACTCATTCTCGTTTTTAAAAGCAACTGTAAAACTAGAATGTTCTGGTGCTCTGATTGTAAACAAACTACTACTTAATCGATCCCATAATGCATAACAGTCACACAATAAAAACCGGATCACGCGATCACCCAATCACGCGATCACGCGAAGTTTTCCAGTCCACGAGAAGTTAGACAACAAGATAAAAAGTACAAAGACAAACAGCAAAGAAAGAAAAAACACACCCGGAAATACGGAATACAAGCTTTAGGCCATGACACACTGTTCAACATCTGTTGATCGACAAAGCAAGAAATTTTACAGCTCAGTCTTGTTTAACAGTGTGTGATGCCTTGTTGAACATATATCACGTTGAACGTTGTTAACCGGAAACAAAGAGATGGGGCCTAGCTATTAGGCTCATTCACTTTTATTTCAATGACAACACCTGGGGTTTTATCAATGGGAGGTGTGCAACAGCCGATTTTGGTGTATTATTAGCGATCTTACGCAAAAGGACGGCAGAGGAAAGAAGACGGCAAACCTTGTGTGACAAGCGTGACAATAATCTTGTTTGAAAAAACTTTCCGCCAAACTTAACCTTCCTTTAAACAGGTCTTTTTGTAAAAAACCAGAAAACGGTGATTTTAGGTAAAGATCACGACGAAACATGCAAATAATAGCGGTGTCAAGTTTGTCACACACAAGCGTTTTGCCCTCCTCCTCTTTTTGCCGTCCTGTTGCGTAAGCTCATGATTAGCTCTACACCATGACAGTCATTTCTGTCATCACTGGTGATACTGGTGGGAATATCAACATCTCTACTTTACAATAATGATATTATTCTGATTTGCACAGTCGAGGGGCGGGAAGACCACTTCTCTTATGCTGAATTTTCATGGAAAAACAAGGGAATTTTGTTATAATTAATTAAAGCTTGGTGATTATTTAACATGGAACAAATTTGAACACAAGGCTAGAGCAATAAGTCAGGGGCACCCAACGAGAATATAGTTCAAAACCACTTGAACATAGCATTGTTAAACGTATTTAACAATGGTAGGTATAGGCATATTTTTATCCCTAAAAATTTTTCATCTGTTCGGATTTCCTAGCTGAAAGTCTAGTGATTCGAAAATTATAGGGATCAAAACTTACATTTTCGATAATTTCAGCCAGAAAAAAGACCTTTTTGAGGTAAAAATCCGTTAAAAATGGGCAATTATACCATTGTTTAGATGTTCGAAAATCCTAGGAGAGGCAGACAAGCAAGAAATTTTGGAAAAAATGTTCCGAAAATTCTAGATCTCAAATCGTCTTCCGAACAGCGGATATTTTCCGAAAATTGTCGTTGGGTGCCCCCTGATAAGTGCACTACTTAAAACAAGTATAATCGCTAGGTGACAGAAGCATGCATAGAAGCATAACATTTTGGCACTATGCTATCATTCTATATTTTATTCCTGTGAGAAGTCATGAGAAGTTAAGTTAACAATGACCTGCTCCTAATGTATGAGTCTTTAAAGATCAATTCCGAGTTCTTGACCACTATTTCGTGACCTTGACAGCTTCCATACAATTTTGGACAAAAGAGATGGGAAATTTATACCCCCCCCCCCCTAATCAAGGATGGGAAAATGGCGCGTTTTGGGGTGGAACACAGCTCTTTACAAGGCCTCACAAGATTGGCATGTGAAAACAACAGACATGGAAATATAACAATGACTCTATCCCTAAAACATTTTTTGGGGATGGGGTTTGCTGTTCCATTTTATTCCGTCCAAGATTTAAGTAGCTGACAACATTGGTCTCTCTTCCAGTCCACGAGGACTTTGAGTAGATATTGGATAGCAAGATAGAAACTGTCAAAAATAACAAACAAGGATAGACAGACCAGGACATACCAGAGGAAATACGGATTTCAACGGCTTTAATCGGCAATAATCAATGGGGTTAATTACTTACTTTGTTACTTATTAATTCAAAATATTTCTCAGTTTCTGATTGGCATAAATCCCTCTGCTAACTCTTCAGAACCAGCAAGCGGTGACCAACTTTGGATGATGTCTGCTGATATCAGATCAGTTGACGTCAATTGTTCTGATACGCGATAGAAAAAGGGACATTTTTGTTTTTGGTAGAGCTGGAGCCTTGAAATGGTGGTAGATTTTACACATTATACGAGGAAGAAATAGCCCAACTGCTGCCCAAAATTAAAACATACCAAGAGAAGCAATATAAAACGCAACAGATGATAACTACTATTTGATGAATAACTGTAGAATATAGATCCCTCCCGTATCCTGAAACTCCGTCGAGGAAGAAGCAAACGGCTCCCGGGGAGGGGATACTTGGGTAAATTTTTGCTGGGTATGTGCCGCTAGCCTCTCAGAGCCCCTACCCCGTTATAGTCTATTCTGTGGCCAATTATAGACCCAATCTTAGTCACTTTTGCATGGGCAAATATGTAATTTTCGCGATCCCAACTTACTCACTTTCTATTTTTATGAATTGACCGATTTTTTAAACTGAATGAAGAACACGTTAATTTTCACCTACAGTACGAACTTTCTGGTACGTTTGCTAACCGTAAATATGGAGTACTGTGTTACCCCCCAAAATCCGGGTGCGACCCCATTGTAGTAACTGAACTCTATTGAAAATTCAGCCTTATTATAGTCAATCCAGTCAAAATGCGACCCCATCTAGCGGTACATCCCAATTAGCCTCTTATAAGGAAGTACCTCCGGGAAACAGCTATGATGCAGACTCGAAGTTTACACGGATTGAGATATTCAAACCCAAGGTCCTGTATCCCTAAGATCGTGTTCCCGTAATTATTATCCCGTATCTCGATAAACATTTACATTTTTACATTTACCGCGTACAGCCTAGCCCTCACATTAGCGGATTATTGGACCCTATTCGACATCCTTCCCACTATATAGGGAATTTATAGCTAGAACGCTACAAGCAATAAGAAAGGACCCTTATATAGTACGCGAGTATTGTATTTGCCAACTTACCTCAGTATTTGTCTAATGCCTTAGAGAATATTCAGAAGAGTGCGCTAGGCATTATAGTACCTTCTATGCCATATAGTCATGCATTGCATCTGACTGGTCTGCCTTCCTTACAAGAGTGCAGGGAAAGTGCATGTATAAGGTTTATCTCAAAAATTTCTCCTGGCAACCCTTTGTATGCGCTTATTTTAAGTAGGTCCCAGCCTAGGGAATCCCCGTACAATCTTAGACGGAATACCAACATTGTAACCAAACAAACCAACACCGACCGTTTTGCACAGTTTGTAACGTGCAAATATGCCACCTATTTAGATTCCTAAGCGCCTTACATACTTATTTTGTATTATTTATTACCTTAGATTCCCGTTATTTCTGACCCTACCTGTAATTCAGTTCTCACTGCAAAAGGTAGCAATAAACCAATTTATTTATTTATTTATTTATTTATAGATATTACAATGAGAACAAAAAAACTTGCCTTTGAAGGTAAAAGAGCATTGACGATTTCTGATAGTAAAAACACCCTTTTCGTATACCTTTCATTGAAAAATGGTACCTCTTTAAAAAACTGTTTTTAAACGAGAAGTCTCAATACTGGCATTTTGATAATACAAAAATGATATATTCTTTAACTCTTGAATTCAATAGTTCATGATATATGGCGGGGGGTAGATTACACCAAACAGCAGCAGCAGCAACAAGAATGAAAAAAGCACTTAGCAGGAATATTACCAGAATTTTTGGCTTTTAAGATCATAAAGGAAACGCCCTTCATAAAAGTTGTGAAAATTTTATGACATGCTCCAGCCCTGGAGACGTAATCTGATGCTAACTGATGTAGCCTTTTGCTGTCAAAAGGATCACCATGTCCCGAAAAGACGATATCCACATGGTTGGAAAGGTCTTGCAGTCTTTTGAAGGTCTGAATGTACGCGTTCACATCACTCTGCGGTAACCAATCAATCAAAGGCCCTGGATAGTATACTGTGTCACCACTGAAAAGGATCCTCGCCCTCTCGTCGATCATACCAATGCTCCCTGGAGTATGACCGGGGAAGTGTAAAACACGCAAGCTTCGATCGCCAAGATCAAAAACGTGTCCTTCCTCCAAAACAGTCGACGGCTCGGCGGCTTTAACACGGTAGTCGGAAATTTTCCATCCTTCGCTCGGGGGTACAGCAATGACATCTCCCTTCAAGAATACCCTTGCTATGTCGTATTGGTTACCGTTGCGTATCGCGTCCGCCTCGAGGCTGTGAATAGAGAACTTTTCAAACTGATGTAGTCCTCCCGAGTGATCGTAGTGCATGTGGGTGGCAACTGCTTGGACTGGTTTCTCGCCAATCAAACCTTGTTGTCGCAGAAAGCCTGGCAAGTCCCACAAACCGATACCAGTGTCGATAACTAAATCAGAGGACGAACCTTGCACGAGCCAGATGTTGGCTTGGTTGAGCGACTCGTAGAACACCTCACGTAACATGAACACGCCATCATGCACCTTTTCAACGCTAAATGGTTGTTCAGTCATTCTGATATTTTTTGTTTACGCTTAATTCCTCTCTTCAAAAACAAAAGAGGAATGTTTCTGTTAATTGTAAACAAAAATAGCCCTGTTTAAACATCCCATAATGAACAATAGTCACGCAATAAAAACTGCCTCACGCGATCACGCGAACCACAACAGGTTCGCAAACCTCAGACAACTTTAATTGTCTTCGTTCTCTTTTCCTGTCCACGTCGACTAATATAATAGGTACAAAACGCATTGAGAAAATTAACGCGAAACTGATATGAGAGGGTAACATTTCAAAATGAAGGAAATCAACGCGACGCTCACAAACAAACAGGGGCACCCAAAGTCAATTTTCGGAAAATATCAGTTCGGACGACGATTTGAGATCTAGAATTTTCGGAACATTTTTTGTAAAATTTCTTGCTTGCCTGCTTCTCCTAGGATTTTCGAACATCTTACATATGGTATAATTGCCCATTTTTAACGGATTTTTACCCTGAAAAGGTCACCTAGAATTTTCGGGAGTTTTTTTTTCAGGCTGAAATTTTCGAAAAGGTAAGTTTGGATTCCTATAATTTTCGGATCATCAGACTTTCAGCTAGGAAATCCGAACAGATGAAAAATTTTTAGGGGATAAAAATATGCGCGCCTATGTCTGCCGTTTAAATACTAAAATACGTGTAACAATGCTATGTTTAAGTGGTTTTGAACTATATTCTCGTTGGGTGCCCCTGAAACAAACAAAACGTGTTGAGACAACAGGAGCAATTGTTAAACGCATAATAGAAACTTTTTATTATTACTTTCTTTCCCTAAACGGCAGTCAAGGGAAAAGTCAAGAAATCTGGCCACTGCGAGGGTTCTTCACAATTCTAATGATACTGGCGGAGCTCCACCCTGATAAAGTACTCCTCTTTCGTAGGTGTCAACAAAGTGTATCGAGAGTTTCTTCCCAAAAAAAACAATGGAAATTCAGATCGCAGAAATTAACGCTCCACTTAATTAACGGCGAAGAAATGAGTGTTTACAAGAATAAACGCGACTTGAATTTAATTCGCGTAATTTTTATGATCCGTTAATTATTATTGATAATAATGATGATGAATACAAGCTGGTGGAATCTGCTCGTGAAATCAAGTATTATGCCATATTGAAACCAAGATATTGTTGGAAAAATTATGCCCGGCTGGAAGTATTTTAGCTCCTTAGTTATGCCAGATTGAATTGAAACTGTTTCTTCCCTCTACCCACCGAATAAACATTTACACAGATGTCCAAAACATCTGAGATGTTTTTGATATTACCTTCAGATACAGGACATGTTATATAGTTTGTGCCTTGCAATTAACGGCCTGGCATAATGAAGAAAACCTAAAGCCGTAAAAATGATACGGCTTTAACTATGATTCAGACTGTTCAGCGCCACATACTCGTTTGGGCCAAAGAAGAAACTGCTTCCCCGCCCGGGGGAGGGGGGGAGGGGGTACTCAACAAATGTTTATACGGGGAGGCTCCGCCTGGAGGTCCAACCCCTTACCCTTTTATATAAACCATTTTTCACGAAAAAGGTATCCCTTTCGTATACCTTCTATTGACAAATGGTAATCTTTCACATACCTTGTTTAGAACTTTGCATTTCTTTGAATTGCTGTAAATGCTTTGTCATTTAAATAGGAATCAATAAAAAAAAAGAACATTTTCCCGACTTTATAAAGCCATAAAATTCATCCGTTCGGCCCTTTGAGCCCTAACACAGACCCAAATGACAAATTTCCCTACCCCTTCATATACTTCAACCAGTAAACTCCCAACCCTATTGACTCGGAGGCCATGAGGGCGAGAGGAATAATTGTTTTAGTAAAATCCAACTAGTTGGTCAAAAATATCGAGACAAAACAACTTTAGCTAGCAAAACGCGATTTAGCCACCACTGTTTTGGTTTTCAAAGCCCGGCACTTTTCGCTACTGGTGGGCTATAACATATAGCCTAGTAGTAGCTGAACCGATCAGAACGCAGCATTGATAATAGACCACTAGTTGGATTTTACTTAACGTTGTTATCTCTTGAACAACGAATGCTGTCACACCTGTTGGTCAACAAATGTTGAACTATATGCCCCTGGACATCATTTTTACGACTCTTCAAATCCCGATACTTCATCACCTAGTCTGCTACACAGTCGTTTTTAGTGTCGTCACGCAACCGTGACGACACTAAAAACGGCTGTGTAGCAGACTATTCATCACCAGGCCCCTTCCAATTTCCGAAAGGAAAATCTCGACTCGTTCCCAGGTTCTCTCTCCTACTCTCGCTCCGTGGGGACGGGAAAGATAGAACCCTGGGAACGAGGTCGGGGAAAAGCCCTGGAAGCGAGGTGGTTGTTAGCTCAGGCAACTACTTCTACCTGAATCTACCCACCTACCCCTCCCCTAAGCCAACATTAGGGAGCTTAAGCAACAAAGACGGCGACGGCTACAAAAACGTCTCTTAAAAAGTGAATTCTCACCGCTTCAAACTTTATCGCGCTCATTCCATCTCGTTTACTTCGTCAAATGTTGGCAAATGTTTTTGGAGTTGAATTCTGAAGGATTATATCAAAGTTCAGGACAAGAAAAGAAAGTTGTTGTCTTGTGTTCCCGTACTCGACAAAACGTGAATTCAGGCATTTTCACGTTGTAGTCGGGCAACGATGGCAAAGCATTATTTGCATTATCGCAAAAGGGCACATTTACGAGCCGCATGACTAACGTTTTCTTTGGTTATGGGGGGTCGTTACTTGGTTTGGCAGGTAGGCGGCTAAAAATGTGGCTTCGTTCTAAGCTTTGCAAAGAAATTTTTGACATTTGCTTACCGGTAAAGTTGTTATCGTCAGGAAGCCTGGAAGCGCTTTCAACCTAGCTATTCGCATTAGAGGTTCGTGTGATAATCAAGGTTAGAGCGATATATTGCGTTACGTCACCTATCGATAATTATTAGTCAACCAGGGCTTCATTTGCTCTTTGAAACAATGGGTATTTTTGTTTCAGTGGTTGGTACATTTGAATCACAAAGACAATGTTTACAACTAGAAATATCGCTGTTGTAAAAGGCGGTTGACCTGCACCGTTCTAAACGTCTTATTTCATTAGTCCTCTTTAATCTGCACTATCCATTGTTTTAAGGGATAGGGGCATTGTTATGTCACCATCTCCATTGTTTTCCCAGCCAATCTCAAACAATCTTTCAAATAGGTGCAGAACGCCCCATAAAGGAAAAATTGAAAATTTGCAATGCTAATAAACCTTTGCCCATAAATCCACCAGAGCTGCGATGTTTGTGCTTTAATTTCCATAAAAGCGTTATAAGCGACGAAACAAAAAGATCTGTCACCTAAACTGGACAGATATACAGTGGGAAACTCCCTTACGGCCACCTCGGTAACACGGTCATCTCGTTATCACCACCACTCTTTTTTGGCCGCCCGTCAAAACGGCCATACATTTTCCTGTAAAAAACCCTCTTTAATACGGTCACCCATTAACACGGCCAATTTTTTTGGCCCATTGGTGACCGTCTAGCTGATTCAATAAAGATTGCTTTGGGTATTGGTAATTGGGCACTGGGAATGTATTGTTTTGTGGTCACTCACGCAAATCATCGTATTGTTCTGTATGCGCAAACGCCCAATGCCCTATTGCCAAAGCAACCTTAATTGTATTAGGTATATGTAATTGATTTACTTTATACAAGTGATATCCCACAGAATGATAAGCCTAGAAATTATGAGACTCTACGGTTCGGTTATTTAAACGAAATCTAAGTAAGACCGCGATATAGGAAATCTTTGGACCTCCAGAATCTCCTCTTCAGTAGGTTATTTTAAGAGAACAAATGCTTTTCTAGTCTACGCCATATGCTTCATGAAATTGTTCACAATAAATGTTGTTTACAGAAAAGCGTTCGTCAAACTGAAAATGGCTTAGAACGCGGTTTCGTTGAACATTGGCTAAACTCCGTTTAAATAACTGGCCCCTACATGTTTACCCATGACCCAATCGTTCGGGGTGATTCAGGAGTTCTATTGTATGCAACCTCATGTCCTGAGCTGTTTCCCTAAGAAGATAGGAAGGACGGTAGAGGGGGCGGGGGGAGACCTCTCATTTTCTAAGAGGAAAAGCCCTGGCAACGAGGCTGCATTGTATGCAGGGAGGAAATAAACTTAACACCTTCTAGCTCTTCGTGAGAGGTGTGGTGGGGTATGTATAGACTACAACAAATAGTAAACAGTAGCAGAAACAGCTAGAGTGAAAACGGCAACACTTAGCAGGGAAATTACTAGTGAGAATTTTTGGCTTTTCAGATCGTATAGGAAACACCTAATCTTGTACTCAGATCTCCCGCGGCCAAAAAGCGTAAGACAGAGTGAGATCTGGGTACGAGACTAGGAAACACTCTTCATACGCTCAAGGATTAAGTGGGTCTGCTTAAATGAGCGCCTAGATCCTCAAAGTTTAGCCTAACAAGCCTTAATCATTATAGTATAATATAATATTTCTAAAAACCCTCTGTTTATAAGGGGTGCGATGAGCGTAAATTACTTAAAACAGCAGCAGCAACAACACGAGTGAAAGCAACAATTTGCAGGGATGTCACCAGACGTTTTAGCCTTTAAGATCACGTAAATAACACCCTTCATGAAAGTTGTAAAAAATTTATGACATGGCCCGGCATTGGAGATGTAATCTGATGCCAACTCATGTAACCTTCGACTGTCAAAAGAATCACCATGTCCCGGAAAGACAACATCCACATGGTTGGAGAGGTTTTGCAGTCTTCTGCAGCTCTGAACAAACGAGTTTACGTCACTCGTGGGTAAAAAGTCTATCAGGGGATTCGATTCGTAGACTGTGTCTCCACTGAAAAGGATCTTCGCTTTCTCGTCGATCAAACCAATGCTCCCTGCAGTATGACCGGGGAAGTGTAAAACGCGCAAGCTTCGATTGCCAAGATCGAAAACGTGTCCTTCCTCCAAGACTGTCGACGGCTCGGCGGCTTTAACTCGGTAGTCGGAAAATTTCCATCCTTCGCTCGGGGGTACAGCAATATCAGCATTCCTTAAGAAAAACCTAGCCATATCGTATTGGTTACCGTTGCGTATCGCGTCCGCTTCGAGGTAGTGAATAGAGAACTTCTCAAACTGATGTAGTCCTCCCGAGTGATCGTAGTGCATGTGGGTGGCAACTGCTTGAACTGGTTTCTCGCCAATTAAACCTTGTTGTCGCAGAAAGCCTTGCAAGTCCCACAAACCGATACCAGTGTCGATAACTAAATCAGAGGACGATCCTTGCACTAGCCAGATGTTGGCTTGGTTAAGCGCCTCGAAGAACACTTCACGTAACATGAATACGCCATCGTGCACCTTCTTAACGCTGAATGGTTGTTCATCCATTTTGATTTGTACTTTGTCGCTACAGAAGCAATCGTGAAATCGTTCTGCTCTGGATGTGCTTATCCCATAATAGAAAACATTACAAATAGTCACGCAAGAATAACTGGATCACGCGATCCTGACAACCTTGGAAAGTTTTTGAAATTAGACCAAACGATTTAATCCAAAGCTAAGGTTGTTAACTTACTTTTGTCACTTTTCAAAATTAACCTGATCATACTCAACCCGGCAATTTTATCGTCAATTATGTATGAAACTTGGTGGATTCCGGCAAGTGTTTGAAAACTGTTGTTTAGGTGACGGCTAAATTTGCAATAATCTTAGTCTATAGACAAAAACAAAACAAATTAACTGCTACATTAAAATACCTAAATTTTGTATATACAAAACTACAATTTAGACAATAATTGATATATACGAAGTGGGTTTGCTGATTTATTTTTTGGGCTGCAAAGTCACTATTGCAAATTTTTCACTCACATTTGCACCTGTTTGAAAACTGCGGTGCAAATGAGAATCTGTTATACGGAATAATATTTTAATGTTAAAACAAAGAACAGGGAAATTGAATACTGATCTATTTTCCTTTTCAAATCAGAAAGATCTGAAAAATCTCTCCTACTCGATTACAATGGGAAATAACAATAAACTAAAAATAAAAAATGATAATAAAAAATAATTAATAATCAAGACTGTAAAGGAGTCGGAAGGAATATTTTGCTTTTCAGTTTTACACAAAGCAGACATACAGAACCACTCAAAAGTGTTACAACTGGACGTTTTATTTCGTTGGGAAAAAAGTTGAAGGCCCTTCACATTGCGAGGATTACATAAAGTACGTCACATAAGCCACACAAAGCGACTCCTTTTGTTAATTACAATCTCCAATAAAATTATTCTCGTCATAGGTCATTATTTTTACAAATAAGATTCACAGAACATAAGTCACGTTAGGTTTGCTTCTTTGACGCTTCATTCAAGTGAAGAAACTTACACAGTATTTTTCGAAATAAATCCCGTGAAAATCTGGGAAAATAAATACGTCACATTGTTTCACGCTTGCATTCACTCGTTCTGCGTCAATAAATAATTTATAAAAATATGTCAAACAATTCTTTAAATATATTAAACCACGTCTTCAAAAATAAGTTAAATTATTAAATAACCAAGAGTTATATATTAAATTTAAATCCACACCGATACACTCCAAATTCTAATGATATTTCGTCCACAGTCGTGAGAGAATTAATTTTTTTTAGCTTGCCCATTGAAATGAAAGGTGTTGGACGAAAAATGGCAAAATGTCGCCAAATAATTCTCTTTAGAACTTTAACGATAAATAGTTTTTTAAGAGAAACTTTATCACTGAATTCCCTATCCAGAAGGCGCTTTGGAATTTGCATCCTTAAACCATAAAATGATTGTGTTCAGTTTCTTCAAGAATCATTTCTCACTTGAGTAGGTAAATATAAAACCTGCGTAAGAGTGTTTTATCTCAGCTACAGACATATTTTAACCACAGCTCTAGGTGTTCGGCAAACAGGCAGAAAAAACCTTCCTTTTCGTGTTATAAATATTACATTAATCTACGCCTCTCATAAAATTTAACAGTTTAAAACACTCGTCACAGTTTAACGTCAGTTAAGGACGAACAACGCAAATGATACTTCACCAAATGTATGACTTAAACGCCGTCTTTTTTTCGATTGCTTTCTGTTTTTCCTTCGGTGATGATCTTTGCTATCTTCACACACGTTTGATTTCGGCCACTCTTACTGGATTGACCAGCTTACTTTGAAATAAAAACATTTAAATACCTCCTTTTTCAACATAGAAAAAAACATATGTATGATTGACACTTTAGGGATGCCCGCTTAAGTTAAATTTGTACATGGCAAAGGAAATGTTTTCTTTCGAGTCTATGTTACGTCGTAAAATTTACAAATTTTGAAGATTTTTCTTAAAAATGACTGTCATATTAAAGAAGAGCTATTTACAATGAATGACAGGTAGTTCTAAGAACACTTAAAATAAGTAAACCTTTAATTTTGGGCAATACCACATTGAACATATCCCATTACAACAGCTAGATTGAATCTACTTGTTAAAATCCTCGAAATATAAAACTTACAAAAAATCGAAAAAGAGAAAAATTGTTAGGTGCGGACAAAAGAATTTCTTGTTTTGCCATCTTTACACTAAAGCACAACGAAGATTGGAAACAATGAAAGAAGAATGTAGCAATGGCCGTTTCAATTTTAGAAAGATGAATGAGGTATTTCAATAATGACCATGTTTATGATGGGTATGTTGAATGTGGTATTCTTGCCACAAAATTAAAACTAATCGCTTAAATGGTTATTCCTTTACTTAATCGGCGGTAAAAATTGTCCACCCTCAGTGACAGTAATGTCTTCAGTTCTCTCTTCTTCAATTTCTTTTGCTTTATTCGCGGTCCCCGGCTTCTCCTTTACCACCCCGGACGAAATTCTTTTGGTCAGCGGTGGCACAGAGCTCTTTGATTCTATTCCAGTCGCTTGTTGCTTTACAATGTTGTCGTTGTTGTTGTCGTGAGGGACAGTATGCGTCGCGTCCGCTCCGATTGGTTGCAGTCTTTCCCGCGTTCGAGCGCTTCGTTTGGTCCAGCCGCCTTCAATATACGGTTTACTGGATTCCGCGGTACTTGCTTTAGTAGTCGTCTCTGAGGAGTTATGCGTGTCGGAATGGGCCTGGTGTCGAGATGTCAAGCGGGACATACCGCGATGTCTCTGCCGACCCTGAAATACACAGTTTTAAAACTAGATTGAGTGTAATGTTGAGAGCAGATGCTGAGCAGTAAAACATTATCTGAAAAACGATGAACTGGCAAAAGTTTCCCTAATTACAGACCCTTTTATTGGTTCAATGTAATAACTGTGAGATAACGGACTACAAGGGATTCCTAAAATCACGAGTTCTTTGTGATTTGGGTCTTTATTGGCCAGTTTACTGTTATACGAAAAAAATAAGCAACTGCGAAACTTAGCGTAATTAGAATGATGCAATGGGTGTATTATAAATTGAGTGCTGGCCATTTCTGCTAAAAATCATCCTGACACAAAAATCACCTACGTAGGGATAGGACCCCCCCTCCCCACGGAGCCACAGGACACCCAAAGAGTAGTGTGCCGCTGGCCTGGGGACTCGCAGCAATTAGATTGATGATACATCGTCGCAAACGAAACTACTGGATTGACAGACTTAAATATACGCCCTTTTTTGTGTACCTCTTGAATCCACTCGTGCTGAAACGCTTCATCAGGCGTTAAACGAGTCGACGGATCCCAGCTAAAAGAAATGAAAAATAACGATTAATGACAAAATTAATAATAATCATATGATGATGACGATGATGATGATGACGATGACGATAATGATGATGATGATAATGTTATGAATCCCAGGGCAAACCACTTCCCTAAAAATGACAGAGTACCCCTCTCTGGGGTAGGGGGGAGTTTAGCCCCCTCACAACAGATTTAAATCAAAAGACGGTACTCACTCAAGACAACGATGAAGGAAGTCCACAAATAACGCATCACTTGTTTTCAATGCTGCGTTGAGTTCCTTGCCGTTTACTTGGCGTTTCTTTCCTTTTGAGTTGGTCATACTACGCGGGTTGCCTTTCGAATCTACAAATAAAAAAATAAACTCTTGTTAACTTTCAAGAACATTTAGATAAGGAATCTTTATTATGAAAAACAAACTCGTTAGTCTCAGAAATGTGATCAGGAGCCAATACACAAAATATATTGGTCATGTTTGCCGCGGTCCTAACACTATGTTGACAAAAACGATGTTATTTGCGATGTCGAATTGTCCATGTTAACGCGATCGTTGGATAAACATCGCTAAACTATTAAATGTGTCTATTGAGCAAGCAAAGAGGTATACGAAAGATAAGAGTGGTTTCGCTGTATTGGTTGACCGTGTAGTCTCCATGGTAACATGATTACTGATTACTGACTGCCCCCCCCCCCCTCCCCTCAACATTTTGCGTAACCTTTGTTTTTTATTTCTCCTGGGTATTACAGCCGTCCCAAGAGAAATTAGGGAACTTAAGATAGAGACGTTTTTGGGGCGACGGCAACTTCAACCGGACGTGACATCATCATTTGTTGGATATTGCGCATGCTCCTGCTCACCACCTTGCCGTCGTGGTCCCGTCGGCGACGTGAAACTGAGCTGTTTGGCGTTGTGGCGAAAACGTGAGTATTTAACTTTCATTTCAATCAGGTTTGTTGCGTTTAGCAACCAAAATTTTGCAGATTATCGTTCTTAAATTGTCCTTGTTTTCTTTGAGGCACATTTCAAGCTCGATTACCAAGCCATGTTATCTAAACTTACATCTTTGAATCTTTCTGTGTTTTCATGTCACAGGGTCAAGATCCAACTTGGCAAACAGCCAACCGTAAGTGAGCTTGACATGGACAAAATTGTCCTACGAGCCAAATAAAAGTATCCAGACAAAAAATATGAACTCCGATATGTTAATTGTGTGTTAGTTCGCTCTTTTCGTTAGAATATCGTATAAATGAAACGCATTGAAAATTATATAGAATAGTAGGTAATACCATGTACTAAATAACGTGGGAATACTGAAATAAAGTTGTTGCCGTTGTTTTGTTGTTGCATGCAAGTATTTCCCGGGAATTATTTCAATACCAAACTAAGAATACGGTTCCTTGGTAGCATTTTAATGTTCCTGAAATTTGCAAGGCTTCGGCAAGCCTGTGGAGATCTTTTTTTATCAACACGAAATTCTGCCTTGCACTCAGCTGCATCCCGCATGTTTCTTAGCGTGAACGGATCGTAACTGTCCCGAGGAAATCGGGATTTTTGGACTCATAATTTTCCCACAAAACGAGAAACTCTTCATCTGATACATGTTGTCTGCATAGCAAATATTTATTCTCGTAATTCTTTATGTGAAGCCATATTTTCCTCTGCGGTATTCTTCTAATTAAGGGCGCCGTCCTTCTGAGTTCACTGCGATCTTAATGTTCGATTTTTGACGGGAAGCGACGGCTGCCTCAGTTCCAGGCTTTCTCTGCCAGTCCGGTCGCCGTCGCCCCGAAAACGTCTCCATCTTAAGTTCCCTATTGAAGGAGGAGGAGGAGCCCGACTTCCGTCTGGGTGATTTTCATCTAGCGGCGGAGCAAATGAAAAAGCGATAGTGTCCCCCAAAGCGTCCCATAGAGTCGTCTGAAAAACCACCGACCCACTCTTACTGTCAATGACCTCAAAATGAGAAATAAACATCTCGCTGTAACTTGCGTTACCCTAACAACGAAGCTTTTTGGCTAAAATCAACAAGGAGGAATACGCAGGAGCAGGAGCAGGAGTAGGAACACTAGCTACCCTGGCTAGCGCCTAAAAAGAGGGGCTGAAAAAAATAACTTTACAAGTAAATTCTCACCAAAAAATAGCCGCTTTCTTCCAGCAGGCTCGAGAACACTAGATGGTGGCTTTCCTAAGATCTGCAATTTGTAATATGAACGTTTGCAGATAAATAATTATTACACAAACTCCAGTATTTAGAAGACAAATCACATGATCTTAATGCTGTAAAAGTAACCCCCTCCCCGCCCCCCCCGCCCCGAGAACGAGCGAGTCTTCGAGGGCGTTCGTCAATCTTTGTAAAGTAATCGCCAACGTTCGTATCCAGTCCGGATAGTCTAAGTTTACTTCTTTACATCAGCAAATCACAATTTTTCACACAGGCGGACAGCGAATAGTAAAACCTGCCTATCAGATTACAGTTATTAGTCAAGAATCGACTTTCTGGAAACTTTTAAAATTGAGGGGTCGACTAAAAACAAAACCTCTAAAAGACAAAGGCTGATAGACTGCGAGCAGTCTATTATTTTTCGTTGCTAAGCTACTACACGAGTCACCCAAGCACGCGAGTCGCGATAAACGAGGGCGTAAGCCCGACAAGGAAATATATGCCCGCCTTTCCTCGTCTCGTCCTAATCTCTTATTGTGGCGTCGTTAGTTGCAGTCGCGCTGACTGGGACAAGAACTGGACAGATCTTACGAGAAAAGGCGGACTGCAAGCAGTCTAAAACGATAAAGGGAAAAATCATTTAAACACAGACTAATGCAAAGGCCACCTAGTCAAAGAGCAGCGAAGTGAAGCCAGATCTTAGAGTAGATAAGAAAAGTAATATTAAAAAAAGTTAAATCATAAAAAAGTAGTCTCACGCACCTCCATAATACATGCTAACTGTTCCACTTCGTTTTCACCAGGAAATAGTGGATATCCGGTGTAAAGTTCGGCAAGGATACATCCTAAACTCCACATATCAATAGCCATGCTATAAGGAATACCTAGGAAAAATATATTAATAAAGAATAAAAAATGACGGTCTTTCGTTCAACTTTAGAATGAGCAACAAAGGGACCAAGTTTTCGTCGTCGTGTCGTCACGCAACGCTCCTCCCCACTGGTGGGGAGGAGCGTTGCGTGACGACACTAAAAACGGCTGTGTAGCAGACTACATCTTCGGGGGTTTTTGATTAAAGGGGGCCGGTAGGAAGTAAATATTTGGCGCCCAGGGTCGGTTGGAACTTTCTTGTGAATCTAGGTTTTCGGTTGAAAGATCAGTGAACTAAACGTAGAACCTCAAACTTACCGAGAATAACTTCGGGCGAACGGTAGAAACGGCTTTGTATGTACGTATAGACTGTGGAGATAAAAGACGGATGAAAAAGTGAAAATATATTTGGGAAGTTGTCAAAACAATCAAACACAGACAGGACCCACTGCTCCACGGAAAGTTTAGTGAGTCTTTTCCTACCCTCTTTCCCCATCTTAAAAGGTGTCGTCTCCTTGAAATAGCCCCCTATCTATCTGTACTAGAAAGGTATGAGATTTAAAGTATTTGTGCAGTTGCCTGAAAATGCAAGCTTCATGCAAAAGGAAGATCTAAGTCTATCTCGAATTTTTAGGATAAACTTGCGTCCATCCTGGCCCCGGTTGTTCAAACGTTGGATAGCGCTATCCACTGGATAAATCACTATCCAGCGGATAAGTATTACGGAAATCAATTACGCTATCCGCTGGATAGAGATTTATTTGATGGATAGCGCTACCCAACGTTTGGACAACCGGGGCTAGGTTCATAAGATGGGTGGTGTCTTGTGTAGCAGCCTCCCCAACTACAGTCAAAGAAGACCCTCATAAAATCACCTGCTTTGTTTTCACCACTTCCCCTAGCTTGTTCAGGCTCCGAAAGAGTCGGGTCACGAAAATTGAGAAAGCCGGAACACGTAAATAGAACGGGGCCGGGTTGTCCAAAGCTGGGTTAAGATAACCCAGGGTTAGTGCGAAATTCGAATTCAGATATGAAAGCTTAAGAAGCAAATTCAGTTTAATTCCTTTTGTCTACAATTTGACGATTGGATACTCGGAAGGGCGGCGGTTCTTCTCAAAAGTGAATTTTTGTGGAAATTTAAGTGTTACCTTTTTGATGCTCATAGCAACTTGAACCGAAATCTATAACTTTTATTGCGCTCTGTCCTTTTTGTCGTAATAAAATATTTTCCTGAAACAAAAAAGAAACGATTAGAGCGATAAAGAGTCACAGAATAAGTTAAAAAAATAAAACTCCCTTTTAAAACGTTCTCGTTTTTGCGCTAGGAACTACCAGCCAATCAGAAAAGACAAAGGCAATCAAATGCACCAATCACAAGTCACAACAAAAGGACGTCGCAACAGCCATGCGCACTAAACTGCATCACAGTTTTGTTTTTAGTAAAAATTACGCTCTACAGCCTAGTAATGAAAACCGCTCTGTGGAATTTTTATTAAAAAGGACATCTTCTTGAACTTAGAGTGGAAATAAATAACAAATGCAACAATAGACAATGACAACAGTGGCATCAAGAATAAGCATATGAAACAAATTACCGGTTTTAAATCACAGTGGATAATTTTCTCTTTGTGTAACACTCTTAGGCACTGAAGTAACGAATAGGCAAACCTACAAAGATGAAAGGCAGCGCATTAGTATCTTGTTAAAAACAAAACGGAACGGGGTTCTGCTGTTTTAGGGCTTAAAAATTCCTCGACTTTTCTGGACATTCTTAACGCCTTTACAAAGTTTCTCTGACTTTAAGTTAGTTCCTTTCAGAACTGTGTCAAACAAACAATGATTAGAAAACATAATTTAACTTTAAACCTCGTTTTCCAAAGAATCAAAAAGAAAAAGAAGAATAAGAGAAAAGAATCATAAAGTTCTCTGAGGTTCCAAGCAGGGCTGTGCTCTAGAAAAGCCCGATGGCCCCTGGCGCCTAACTTTTGCTCTTAGGTGACTAGAAAATCTTACTTTTTTCATACAAATCACACATTGTATGCTGGGCACCCTAGATTTCAGAAGTACAGAGCTCTGGGCTCCCTTTAATTTTCGTTAGAGCACAGCCTTGTCAAGTTACCCATGACCTTACTCGAAACGAAGCGTACCAACATTAAAGATATTTTACGTAAAATTCCAACGATGAGGGAAGAATACTATTAAGAATCGAATACAAAATTAAGTAACAGCCAGAAACGATGGAAAAGCAGTGGCATTCACGCACACTCTATGGACCTCCACTGAGTGATTACAATATCCAGCAAGTAATATGCTCCTTATACAAGATATAGAGCGGTTTTCGTTTGAGTGTCGTAAAACCAAAACCAAAGTAATTACTCTGGCCAATCACATAGAACACAGACAATACATCGAACCAATCAAAACTCGAAGTAATTACATGTGGCTGACGCAAAGCACGGGAAAATGCATGCGAGCGCGTCACAATTGGCTTTGGTTTTACTTCTGATTGGATGAAAAGGTGGCGCGAATCTTTTAAGCCAA